GGGAGCGCCCAGTGAAGGTATAGCTTTGATATTTCAAAGAACTCCATGCTGTCCTGATTAAGACCACTGGCATGTCATGAGCTTCCATTTCTGAAATACAGATCTAGGCACACGCGCGCACACACACACACACACACACACACACACACACACTCACACTCACACTACATTCTTCCCTCGCTCCCTCCTTCCTTTCGTTTCGTTTCGTTTCCTTTCCTATTTTGTTTTATGTTATTTGAAAGAGAGAAGGAGGAACAGAGAGATCTTCTATCTTGTTGTTCACTTCCCCGAATACCCACAACCATCAGGTCTGGCCAGGCTGAGGTCATGTGCTGGGTCGTCAATTTGGGTCTCCCACCATGAGTGGTTGTTGGTTCCCAAGCCTGTTAGGGGGTGAACCAGTGGATGGAAGATCTCTCACTATCCTCTCTAACTCTGCCTTTCTAATAAAAACAAACAAATCTTCATCTTTTTTTTTTTAAATAAAGATTTATTTATTTTTATTGGAAAGTCAGAAAGAGGTCTTTGCATCTGCTGGTTTACTCCCCAAGTGGCCGATCATTGCTTGGCCGATCCGAAGCCAAGAGCAGCTTCTGGATCTCCCACATGGCTGGAGCTTCCTAAAGCTTCGAGAGACCCTCCACCGCTTTGCTAGGCCTCAGGCAGGGAGCTGGAAGGGAAGCAGAGCAGCTGAGACACAAATTGGGGCCCATAAGTGAATTTTTCAAAGATGTAGTTGTCTCTGGGTAATCAGCTAGCAAAACACTTGATAAATTTAAAGAAAAAAAAAGATCTTTCTGGAGAACCTGAGTAATTTTAGACTGTTAAGGGGGCAGAAGTTCTTGGAGGGGGTTACTGACAATGCAGTTGTGTCAGAAAACAGGAAGTAGTATGTGAGTGGCTTGTTTTTATGAAAGTTAATGAGTAGACACAGGAAATTTGGGCAGTTGAGATAATGATGGAGTGCTAAAGTGGTAAGCTTTCCTTCAGTGGTCATGGACATTGTATGAGTCACCCTTTAAAAAAATTTTTTTTAAATGGAAGACATTCAAAGAAAGAGAGGTCTTTAATTCACTGGTTTACTTCCTGAAGGCCACCGCATCTGGGGCTGGGCCAGGTTGATGCCAGGAGCCAGTGTGCCTTCCAAATCTCCCACACGGGTGTTGGCTGTCTGCTGCTGCTCTCACAGGTGTGTTAACATAGAACTGAGTCAGAAATGGATTAGCTGCCATGTGGGTTGATGGCTTCCCAGGCTGTGGCTTTAACTGCTACCACAACATCGGTCCCCTTATTTAAATTTATAAAAGTACCTCATTTGCATATAGTTCTCCCACTGTATAAAATGTAACCTGCATGAGGACAAGGGCAGTGTCCCGGGCAGCTCTGCCTTCCCTTCCCTGGAACAGGGCCTAACACTTAGCAGACCTTCCATAAATATTTGTTTAACGAATAAAGCATGAATTCATTTTTAGTCTGGTCTTTCGTAGTCCGCAGTGTCACAGGCAGCCAATTTTGACTATTGGAAGAAGTCCAGCGGACAACCATGAAATGCCATAAAAGAATTTCTTTGAGCTGCTTTGTGTTTCTGGGGGGTGTGGCGTGTGTGTGGGTTGTATGTGTCTCCAGACATCAGAGGGTCAGGACCCTCTCTTTTGATGCACCCCAGACCACTGCCTTGTCAGGGCCTGGAAGAGCAGTTCTAAGAGGAGGAGAGGTCAGGCTGGTTCCTGTGCCTGAGTGGACGGCTGTCCACGCCACATTTCCTGTGCAGCCATGAGCCGTCACGTGGCTGGCAGCCAGCTTGTGCGCTGAGTTTTCTTCCTTGTAAGGCAGGGTTCTGAGTCAGCATTCTGTCTGGGAGTCCCATTCCCTTTTCTGTTTTCAGGGATTTGCCATGAGGAACAGCTGAGCAAACTGGAAAGCACTGGTCCTTCCAGTGAGGGCAGATGCCTCAGAAGGTCACCCGCGGAGCACTCTGTGCAGCGTGTGCAGATGGGCGGGCGCGGGGCATGCTCTGTGAAATGTACAGCCTCTTGTAAACACAGGGTAGGGAGCGATGAGCTGTGTGGACTGAGTAAGTTGTCAGTCATAGGCGGATAGTTCCTTTGTGTTCTGCTTCCCTTCCTCTTTTTCTTAATTTACTGTCAGGTTTCAGATTCAAATAATTGATTTGGATGTGCAAAAGTAGAGGAGGGAAGTAAAGTGGGGGGAGGAGGGAGCTGGAGGAGCCTGGCCACACCCATGGGCAACTGGAGTTTGATTCCGGAGGGTGAGGAAAGGGTAAGGGAGTCCTCATCAGAGCAGCGAGGATGGGGACGAGGAAACTGGGACATTGACACAGCTGTGTCGTGAGGACAGTGCCTGTAGTGGATTCACTCCCAGAACAGCCTGCCGATGCACAAGCTTTGGAGAAAGCCCTCAGGCCAACAGATGTGGTTCCTGGCAGCTGGAGAGTTGGCAGAGCATCCCCAAAGCAGTAAGGGCTAAGGGGCATGAAGGAAGCTGTACCGACTTCCTGGTACTGTTGCCAGTAGTCATTTCCATGAATGCCACTGCTTTATTTGTGTTGCTTCCCATCTCTTCACCTTTTTAAACCACATCTTTTCTCTATGGTTGGTTCAATTCTCAAATCTTTCTTGACACTCCTGTTAACGAATCTAGTGATTTCTGTTTCATGGAGTCGCAGTTTATACCTACATGCTTGTATTTTATACTATACTTTAAAAAAAACGAACATTCAATGAGGTAGGTATGCTGGACTTAGCACTGTTTTAGAATTGTTCACAATGTCATTTTCAAGTTCATTGCTTTTTCTAAAATCATAAGCTATGGACCAACACTGTGGTATAAGAGGCTAAGCCAGCAGCTGCTCTGCTTATGCTGGAGTTTCCTGCTAATGCGCTGGGGAAGCGACAGGTGGTGAGCAGCGTGCTCAGGCTCCTGCTCACACGGCCAACCAGAGGGAAACTCCTGGGTCCCTGTGAACCAGCTCTGGTCACGGAAGCTGTTTGGGGAGTGAACCAGCAGATCAAATATCTCCTCTCTCCCTTTCTCTGTCACTCTGTCTTTAAAATAAAATAAATAAACCTTTTTTTTTTAATAAATAAATCTTTAAAAAAAAACAAAACATCAACAGGCTTAGTAAGGAATAAGCAGATGGAACAAAAAGATAAGGAGTATTTGTGACTGCAGTTTAAAACTTTTGTTAATCTTTGGAAATAAATGAGCTTTTAGAATGTTCGCTTATTGCAATTACACAGTGTTTTAAAGTCCAAATTGGGAGCCTGGTGCAATGGCTCAGTGCTAAATCCTCTTGCATGCACCAGGATCCTATATGGACACTGGTTTGTGTCCCAGCTGCTTCACTTCCCATCCAGATCACTGTTTGTGGCCTGGAGAAACAGATAGCCCAGAGCCTTGGGACCCTGCACCCACAGAGAAGACCCGAAGCAAGCTCCTGGCTCCTGGCTCCACATCACCTCAACTCCAGCTATGGAGGCCACCCCATATTGAAACTCTGAACTCTTTGAATAATAACTTCATTCTGCTCTCACAACTGCTGTTCTGCTTTGTGCTACTATGAGTTAGTTCCACTGCTGTTAAATACTTAATGTCCTTAAGATTCATCCATACTGTAACATGGCAGAATCTCTTTTCTTTAAAAACTGAATAACATGGGCCTGACAGTGTGGCCTAGCGGCCAAAGTCCTCACCTTGAACGCGCTGGGATCCCATATGAGCACCGGTTCTAATCCCAGCAGCTCCACTTCCCATTCAGCTCCCTGCCTGTGGCCTGGAAAGCAGTTGAGGACAGCCCATGGGACCCTGCACCTGGACCCGGAAGAGGTTTCTGGTTCCCGGCTTCGGATTGGCACAGCACCGGCTGTTGCAGCTCACTTGGGGAGTGAATCATCGAACGGAAGATCTTCCTCTTTGTCTCTCCTCCTCTCTGTATATCTGACTTTGTAATAAAAATAAGTAAATCTTTAAAAAAAACAAACTGAATAACGTGGGCCCAGTGTGATAGCCTAGTGGCTAAAGTCCTCGCGTCGAATGCTCCAGGATCCCATATAAGCGCTGGTTTGTGTCCCAGCTGTTCCACTTTCCATCTAACTCCCTGCTTGAGGCCTGGGAAAACTGTAGAGGACGGCCCAAGACTTTGGGACTCTGTACCTGCGTGCAGACACCTAGAAGAAGCCCCTGTCTCCTGGCTTCAGATCAGCTCAGCTCCAGCCATTACAACTACTTGGAGAGTGGACTAGCGGATAGAAGATCTTTCTGTCTCTCCTTCTGTCTGTAAAACTGCCTTTCAATAAAAAATGAATATTTTTTTAAAAGATCGAATAATGTTCCAATGTGTTTATTGCCACATTGTTCACTTGTTGGTGAACACTTGTGTTTATGGCTCTTATTAATTATGCCACAATGAACATGAGCATATGCTGAGTTTCTGCTTTCAATTCTTGAGTGTGTACCTGGGGCTAGAGTTGCCGGGCAGAGGGCAGTGCCATGTTCACTGTTTTCCATTGTGGCTGTACCGTTGTACAGTCCTGCCAGCTGTGTACAGTCACATTTTCTCCACGTCCTCACCAGTACTTAGTTTTCTTGGGCAGTAGCCATCCTGATGGGTATGAGCTGGTATTTCATTGTGATTTAAATTTGCATTTCTCTAATTATTAATGATGTTGAATATCATTTCCTATATTACTTTATTATTTTATGTCTTCTTTGGAGAAGCATCTGTTCAAGTCCTTTACCCATTTTTGAATTTGGTTGTTTTTATTTTTGATTATTTTTAGAGGATGTTTGTTATGTGCTATGCCTTATACATACATACCCATCTATAGTATTTATCTAGTTACATTTCTGCATGGATTCCTATAAGATATAAATCTGTGAGGGTTTGTGTTATGTGTAAGTGTATGTTGTAATTGGATAATTATATACCCAGTTTAAATTATAATCATAAATTACATTGAGATATGTTTGTTGCCCAACAGTATATCCTCTCAGGCTCGGATGACTTCAACCTGTATATGTGGAGAATTCCCGCGGATCCCGAAGCAGGTGAGAGTCCCAGCGGGAACCCATGTTGTGCCTCTACTGACTTTTGGTGTGCTAGGCCCTGAAGTCACATCTGTAGAAAGAAGAAATTTTTCTTTTAACGTAAGCCAATTGTCAGAAAAGGAAGCTTTAAAATCAAAATTAGGGGCAGGTGTTTGGGGAAGACCTTGCCGTAGATGCGCACAGCCCGTGTCGGATTGGCTGGGTTCGAGTCCCGGGCTCTGCAGTCATTTACAGCTTCCTGCAAACATGTCACCTGGGACGCAGTGGGTGATGGCTGAATTCATTGTGTTCCTGCCACTTAATCTAAGACCCATGTTGAACCCAGCTCCTGAACTGGGCCTCCCCCCACGCCTAGGCTGCTCTGGGCATTGGGGGAGCAAACACAGTGGATGGGCTGTCAAACATTCCCTTATAAACGATGCCTAACTTGTTTTCATCCTAAAACTTCTCTTAGGCCTCATGCGTCTTCGTTGTGTTATTACCCCTCTGTTTCTGTTTATATCTGAAATATTTATCTTGCTTTTAATGTGCCTTTATTATCCATCCCCACATTCCTGCCTATCACTGTACAAACCATTGTTAGGGCCTCTTCTGTTGGTTTGGCTTCCCTGGGATGGTAACCAAAAGGAGGCTTTCTTTGTTAATGGACATATGTCAAAAAGTTAGATGGATCTCTGCATTTGGTCTAGGTACATTTTGAGAACAGCTTGTACTTCCCATAAATTTGGACCTAAGCCATTCTGACTTCCAAAAGCATGGAGCATTCTTGTTTATTCTTGAGAATAACATCTTCATGGGCCCAGTGAGCATTACCTACTGGGCACAAAAATGTCTGCTCTTTCTGTTACAGTCAGCTCAACGCAGCCATCTGCTCCAGGTGGTACATGGCTGCTAGCGTCAAGATGGCCATCAGGAAAATAATAGAGTACTATGCCAAGTGCATTACACAAAATATGCCTAGTGTTCAGAGTTTAGGGAAGCTTTCAGCTTTGCCTGTTGAAACATCTGCCTTTCAAAACCTGTTGAGCTCTATTTTCAGCTTAACTATTCAGTTGCTGTGGTCTGATACCTACAAATCAGGAAAGGGCTTTTCCTGTCCTAGAGTTTAAAGGCATAAGCAAAACTGCTTACCTCTGAAGCACAGCCAATGGGATAGCAGCAGTCTACCTGAGCAAACAAGTGGTGTTCTACCTGGAGATCATTCCAGATTAACTCTGTCATCCATATAAATCCTAAATTAATTAGCTGACAAATAATCTTTGGCTTTAACTGTATCTTTTACCTTATCTTGGAAAGCTTTTAATTAAATCTATGTGACTTTAAATAGAAAGTGGGGCCCAGTGCTGTTACCTAGCTGCTAAAGGCTTCACTTTGAGCATGCCAAGATCCCATATGAGTGCCGGTTCTAATCCAGCAGCCTGCTTCCCATCCATCTCCCTGCTTGTGACCTGGGAAAGCAGTCAAGGAGGGCCCAAGGCCTTGGGACCCTGCGCCCTTGTGGGAAACCTGGAGGAAGAGGCTCCTGGCTCCTGGCTTTGGATTGGCTCAGCTCCGGCTGTTTGGGCCACTTGGGGAGTTCCAGTGGGTGGAAGATCTACCTCTCTGTCTTTCCTCGCTCTATATCTGACTTTCCAATATAAATAAATAAATAATGAACTCCTTACCATCCAGAAAGACCTTTCTCTCAGACCTCTTTCATGTTTGTATAAAGAAAAATCAGATAAATTAGCATAATATGATAAGATTTTTTCCTCTTCTTGCTAGTTTTGATTCTGACTTAGGGTATGCACCACCTAGTTTGCTAGGGCTAACATAATCAAATACTACAGGCTGAGCAGCTGAAACCAAAGAAGTGTGTTTTCCCACAGTTCTGGAAGCTAGAAGTTCGAGATTCCATTGCCAGCAGGTTTAGTTTCGTATGAGCCTCTCCTTGGCTTGCAAATGTCTAGCTCCTCACTGTGCCCTTAATGTGTTCTGCAAACATGCATCCCCCGTGTCGCTTCCCCTTCTCATAAGCTAACATGGCCATTTCTGCATATTCTCTTGAGATAATTCCCTCAGGTTTATTTAGTAGTTCTTCAAAGAAACGATGCAGTTCCTTTGCTGTACTGACTCCTGAATGTGTTTGACCTCCTCTTTAAGGATACTTGAATAAATTTGACCAATGTAGTCTGATCAGTGAAAAATCTTTAGCTTCCTGATTCTAAACTGTGTTCCATGGCGTTGCAGGAAATGCAGCCAGTGTCACGGAAACTGTTTTGGAGGCCGCAGAACCCGCAGTCAGCTTATACTTAGCTGCGGCTCAGAGCCCCATCGTTAACACGGGGCTGTGGTTTGACACGGCTCTCTAGCCTTTGCTTTGTGCTCGGGTTTCTTTGCACACAAGGAGAGCGCGTATGATTATCCCTCCTATTGCATTTTCCAGGAGTTTGTTTTTCTGCATCATCTTCAGCATTATGTCATCAATCCTAGCAAATCTGTCCCTTTGATCATCATCTTGCTCTGCATAAAACACCGTGCTTTTTTTTTTTTTCCCCTTAAATGTCTGTTCATTTTCATGTGCTTGACGGACATAGAGTTGCAGATATAGAGCGGGGATGCAGGTGTCCCTGGCCACAGCCTAGCTTGCTGGCCTTGCACGCTGAGCCCAAATGCCGTTGTGTGATTACTGTTGGTGAGCCTCGCCTCCGCAGGAATTCAGCCTTGCTGGAGTGTCTCTGCTTTCTCTTGTTCTTGGTTTCTCTACTTCTACTATGCTTTTTTTTTTCAATGGATACTTTTATAAGATTTCTTTCCTCTAACTATTTTAGAATTAAATGCTTCTCTTTACCAAAGTAATACAGGTATGGAATTTTAAGTATTTCTCCCTATAATATGCTAATAATATTATTGAGTTTTCAATTTTGGTCTTTATGATCGACTTTGTACTATTCAGCACAGTTTGCCAAATCAGTCAGTTTAACAAAAGAGGCATCCCCTAACTGGAAGGCATTGGTCTGGCACTTGGGCTGTGCTCTGAAAGCAAGACAAGGGCGTCGTCCGTGAGGTTCGGCAGATCTGTGTGCATATTTTAATTTATCATTGTTTGAGTTGTAGGACAGTTTTTAAAATTTTTTTTTCTGGGACAGTTTTTCAGAGAAAGTTTATGCATCTTTTTATTTAATCTCTTCACGAGCTATGTTCTGTGTCCCCAATTTTAAAAAGCTTTTTTTTTAAAAAAAAAAAAAGTATTGTTACTTTTTAAAATTTATTTTGCAAGTGTTTTATTTTATTGTTCCAACCAGCCTGAAACTTGTTGAGGTCATTTTCACTGGGTAGCTGGCAGGCCTCTCGTTGGGTGAGGGCCCTTTCGTGGCTCTGTGGGCTCAGGCCAGTGTGCTGGCCCGCTGCTCGTTCTGTGTGCTTTGAGTACGCTGTTGCTAGCCCCCTGTTAGCTCAGGCTTCAGGGAGGCTGAGTACCTCTCATTTGTATATGGCTTATCTGCATTTTTAAATGTTGGCAATTAGTCACAGGTTTAAAAAAAAAAAAAAACAGATTCTGCAAGCCAAACAAAAACAAGTACCAGCTCTGACTGCTTAGATGATAACACAGGGTACAGAGAGCCAGCACTGTGCATGCTTGTTGAACGTCAGACACCAAGGCAAGCCACACAGGGGAAGTGAACTGCTGTTTTATATCTTAATGGCATAATCAGAGCTTGACTTTAGATGGCAAGCAGTCAGCATTTATTGCATGCCTGCTGTGTGCTTTTCAGCATGTGCAAAATGCCGAGAGAACCGGATGGAGAGCCAAGCTATGTAGGCCAAAGGCAAGGGCATGTTGTTCTGTTCTCCTGCTCAGAAAGACTCGTCAGTGTCTCTCAATGCTCTCCAAACTCCAGAGATGAATGTTATTTACTGTATAAGCTGGATACTGACTTAATGAACCCACTGTACCATTCGCAGGCTTCCTAATGGACTGAGGATATTGTTTTGAGATGTAAGGCCTGTGCTGCCTGACAAGATCAGGTTCTTTTTTTTTTTTTTTTTTTAAGTTAATGTCAAACAACAACTTGCTTCTCAAAAATCCGTTTGGAAAAAAAAAAACACAACTCCCTTTAAAATCAGAGGAAGGAATGGACTGTGAATTCTGCTGTGTCAGAGGAGGGAAAAAGGCAACCCAGTGGAACATTTTACCCCACCGAAAGGCCATCTGTTTTAATATTGTGATGCTGAAGATGAATAAACAGCTGAGCAGCTTCACAAAGGCCTGTGGGATTTTGGAGGAATATGGGGCTTAGAATCGTACCTGGGTTCAAGGCCAGTGCTGCCTTGAGCATAGCTCATTTGTAGGCAAATGGTGTAAAAGTAACTGTCCAGACATCACTTCTGCAGAATGCTTCTGCCCTGCCTTATATTGTGGGATTTAATAGTCTGGGAAACTTTCTGAAAGCGGTGCAAGCAAATGAGAGACTTTGTTACTACTATGTATTAAAGAGGAAAAATGGAAATTAAGAGTAAGTTTGATAGAAAAAAATTATAAATTATTATTTTTTCATAACATACATTTTCTGTGAACTTTAATTTTTTTTTAAGAGGAGGAAAGAAAAAGATCTTCCCTGTGTTGATTCACTCTGCAAGCAGCTGTAACTGAGCCAATCCAAAGCCAGGAGCCAGGAGCTTCTTCCAGGTCTCTCACCCGGGTGCAGGGTCCCAAGGCTTTGGGCTGACCGCGACTTTCCCAGGCCACAAGCAGGGAGGCTGGATGGGAAGTAGGGGTACCAGGATACGAACCGGCACCCATATGGGATCTTGGCATGTTCAAGGTGAGGACTTTAGCCGCTAGGCTACTGTGCCAGGCTCTCTGAACTTTTTGAACATTGAAGATCACACTATATATGATTTTCAAAACAATTAAAAAAATTATTTGAGATACAGTGTGAAAGATAAAGGGAACATGTGTGCTCTTATCTGCTGACTCTCTCTCCAAATGTCCCTAACAGCCAAGGGCTAAACCAGGC